ACTAGATTCACCTCTGGTCTTGCCAGTTATATAGGATAATATTTTATATATGCATATGCATATATATATATATATATATATATATATATACACACCCATACATATACATATTTTTGTGTGTGTGCCAGGGATTGAACCCAGGGGAGCTTAACCACTTAGCCCCATCCCCAGCCCTTTATATATTTTATTTAGAGACAGGGTCTCACTGAGTTGCTTAGGACCTTGCTAAATTGCTGAGGCTGGCTTTAAACTCCAGATGCTCCTGCCTCAGCCTCCTAAACTGCTGGGATTACAGGAGTGGGCCACCACAGTCCTTTGATAATAAAATCCATTACTACTTGAGCATCTACCATATTGTTCAAACTACTGTATTTTTGCAGAGTTTGTGAGTGATGGAATAAAAGAGATATACAAAGGTCCATTCTCAAGAAAATGTGAATTTCCTTTGTGCAAGATAATAGCAATCTCATTAGGTATGTGTGTGTGTGTGTATGTATATATATATGATTGAACCCAGGGGCATTTTACCTCTGAGCTGCATCTTTAGTCCTTTTTTTTTTTTTTTTGTAACGGAGAGGCACTCAACCACTGAGCCCCATCCCCAGTCCTTTTTTTGTATTTTATTTAGAGACAGGGTCTCCCTGAGTTTCTTAGGGCCTTGCTAAGTTGCCAAGACTGGCTTTAAACTTTTGATCCTCCTGCCTCAGCCTCCCCATCCACTGGGATTACTGGCATGCGCCACTGCACCCGGCTAATGTATGCCTCTTGATTGCATTCTTCAGGAATTAAAAAATAACCAACTTATATGTCCCTCCTTTTCCCATAGCTGACCAACGAATTTCCCATCCTCACATTTTTAGAAAAATGCCACTGTAGACTGCAATTATAACTTTCTTTCATCACAACTAGAAAATTTGGGAGAAATTGAAGAAAAGAACATTTCATATGCATGCATTTTCTCCTTCCTTCAAATAGAACTAGTTCTATGAAAAGTAAGATCTCAATTTGATGAGAGTTTATTGTTATAGCTGAATTCTCATCTAAGCTTACTGTGTTTATTAGGAGTTCATTGTTGTTGGGCATGGTGGTGCACACCCGAAATCCCGGAGACTTGGGGTGTCTGAGGAAGGAGGAAGGCAATTTCAATGCCAGCCTCAGTAATTTAGTGAGGCATGAAGCAACATAGCAAGACCTTGTCTCAAAATAAAAAATTAAAAGGGCCAGGGAAGTAGTGCCTCTGGGTCCAATCCCAGTACTAAAACCAAACACAAACAACTGTGTAATAAGGGAGGAGCTTATAAGGTCTCCTCAAATGATTGCTACAGGGCTTACTGTTCCAGGGCAGGAGATAATTTTCACCTTTTGAAACTGGTATGAGCTGGGCGTTGTAATATAATTCTAGTACTCAGGAGGCTGAGGCAGGAGGGTCACACATTTGAGGCCAGCTTCAGTATGGTGAGACCCCCAAAAATACAAAGGTCTAGGGATATAGCTCAGTGGTAGAGCAACCCTGGATTCAATCTCCAGCACCAAAAAAAAAAAAGAGGGGGAGCAAAGAAGGTAGTAGCTTGTAGTGGTGGAGAGCACTTGTCTAGCATGTACAGGCCCTGGTGTCAATGTTTAGCACTGCCAAAACACAAAAACAAGGAAGAAAGAAAGAAAGATGAAAGAGTTCCTTGTTGATGTTTGCGACAATATAATTTTGTTTAGCTCAGTACCTATGCTGCAGCCCTGGATCTTCCAACTGTGCAGAAATGTTTGCAAATTAATCCTCTTTATTTGTCCATAAATTATTTGAACTTCAAAGTCTCAGAGTCCCAACATGGGAAACAGGACATTGTGTTCCAGAGTGGAATGCTATCTTCCTTCATACTAAAAGGAAGACATGGGAAGGTGACTAAATTATTGTGTATGCACTATGTGGCCGATTCCAGGCCCTCCCCCCCACAAAAAAAATGCTGTTTCCTAATTCTATTACATGGTTACATCCTCTCAAGGTGCAGCATTCTAAGCCTGGGCTTTGGGTTGTGCCCCTGGGTTTATATTCTGGCTTTGTTACTGTTAAGCTCTTGGGCAAGTTTCTTGAGTTTCCAAACTTCCCTTTGCTCAGTGGTAAAATTAAGATTCTTCCTGGTAAGGCTTACACCACATGATTGTGGTAACTACATCCAATAACACATGTAATCCCAGCAGCTCAGGAGGATGAGGTGGGAGGATCGCAGGTTCAAAGCCAGCCTCAGCAAAAGCGAGGCCCTAAGCAACTCAGTGAGACCCTGTCTGTAAATAAAATACAAAATAGGGCTGGGGATGGGGCTCAGGGGCACTTAACATCTGAGCCCCGTCCCCAGCCTCTTTTTTCTATTTTATTTAGAGACAGGGTCTCACTGAGTTGCTTAGGGTCTCGCTAAGTGCTGAGGCTGGCTTTGAACCTTCGATCCTCCTGCCTCAGTTGCCCAAGTTGCTGGGATTACAAGTGTGTGCCACTGTGCCGGGGCAAGATGAGATTTCAAGGTTGGATAGAAGACACATACATGATTGTCTTGCAGTTGCTTCTGCTCTGAGACACAGGAATGAGTGTAGGTGAAACACAGCAGACAGGAAGTGTCAGAAGGAATACCCTAAACTTCTAGAACCTGGAAATGGGCTGTTTTGAAGGTTCAAATTATTTATCTAATTTTCCTTGATTATAATATGTCTCTCTTCCCATTCCCATCCTGCCCTCTGTCCCCTCAGACGTTTCTTTTCCACATTTGAAACTTGAAGCATAAGCTGTGGGTATTTCTCAGTGGAAGGGGGCTTGCCTAGTATGTGCAAGGCCATGAGCTTGATCCCCTGCACTGCAAAAGAAATAAATTAATTTAAAAATATAATTAGAAGTATGCTAAGTTCTAAATCCTGTTCCCTCCTCAGCTGCTGCAAGGAGTCGACGATGGAAGATGTGGCTGTAGCAGGTGGAGTCACAAGCCACCTGGTTGTGTTCATCACCAGGACTGCCTAGGTGGGGGCGAGAGTCATGTGGAATTCACAATTTTAGGTAGGTAGGAGATTTTTGCAAATGATGGGATGTGGTTGGACTATAGAATAGTAAGACTGGGAAACACAAAGGTCCAGCTTACTAGTGATTTGTACAGGAATCTAAGACTCCTCTCTAAATGTGGTATGCACGATGTATTTTTTTTTTTTTGTAGTAGAATTCATTTGAGCAACATGTGAGCAGTGAGTTACATCAGTAAGCCAAACTCTGCCAAGTTCCCTGCCCTCATTGGAGTGCGTGCTCCACAGAGATACGTCCCAGGCTCCAAATGGGCCTATGACACAAAATGCTCAGGAATCCAGATACTGAACCTGTGGTCCTCCATATTGTATAGCAGCACCACTTAAAAGTCTAGATGGTAGGTTCCATCCTTGAGTTTCCAATTGCTGGATTTTACCTTTGACGGCCCTCCTCATTTGATCCAGTCAGGGTTGAGCCCAACAGATGGATATAGACAACAGATGATAAGGCCAGGCAGGGTTCATACCTTTAATTCCATTTATTCCAGAGGCTGGGGAAGGAGGATCGCAAGTTCAAGGCTAGCCTCCACAACTTCGTGAGACCCAGTCTCAAAATAAGAAATAAAAAGGGCTGGGGATGTGGATCAGTGGTAAGTGCCCTCGGATTCAATTCCGAGTGCAAATCAATCAATCAATCAAATAAAAATAATAAAATAAAAATAAATGATTGGTTATATTTTTTAAGTTCTAGAAAGGAGATGAATTATTGTCACCATCTACCGCGAAAACGTCCTCTTCCCCAATATTACTGCTACCATGAGTTTCTGAAGTTATTTGCCGCTTTGTAAATACTCACTTTACAAGTCTTCTCCCAAGAACTCTGTCATTTATGGCCCTCGGGAAGTGAAGGCTCTGAGAGGTCATGGAATTGCTCAAAGTCACGAACGCCAGAGCCCAGCCTTCAACCCTGATCACACCGCTGTGGCGTCCCACTCTCCGCAGGTGGAGGGGACAGCCTACTTGGTGTGGAGTTGGTCTTCCTGTCCCCAGCCAGGCGGGCACAGGCGCTCTCCACCGGGCCTGTGGGCGGCGCTGGCGTCGTGGGGACCCCCGGGGCCGCGGATTCCGAGAGGTGGCCGCCGCGCCCATACCCCTGCGGGCGCTAGGACGCGGGCGCACGCCCCATACCCGTGGGGATCTTTATTCGCTGTCCCCGAAGTTCGAAGGCTTTCGGGCTCCACCAGGAACTTGAGCCCGGGGCAGAGAACTGGCGGCCGCAGTCTTTGCAGGAAGGACAGTGGAAAAGCTAAATGGCTACCTTAGGTCGAAGCCCACACTGGCCTTTGGCTTCTCTCCCCCTCTTAGTTTGCCCAGGTCCTAAAAAGTTGTCCCCAAAGTTTAAGGATGAGGGTGTTTGTGCGTGTGGGCGCCTTTGAAGCGCACCGGGATCTCAGTTGGGGGGCTCTGGGGAACCCTCCGTCCCCCTCCCCAGGGTCGCAGGACACCCGCCCAGACCCCGCGCCCAGGACCTGAACCCGTGGGCGCAGGGGAGGCGGGGAGCAGCGTGCCTCCGGATCGGTCCCAGGTTTTAGAGAGAAATGTGGCGGAGGCGGTGGACAAGCCGGGCTGGGTGACCGACAGCGTGGCCAGCCACTGGCCGAGGGCGTCCAGGAGGCTTGGGGCTGGCGCGAGGGCGTGCTTGTGTGCGTGAGTGTGCGAGCCTCCCCAACCCCCACCTGTCCCCAAAGACACACCGCCTGGGTCCGCGAGTTGGGGTCAAACACTACGCGCCTCCCTCTTCTCCAAAGCCACTTGCCCAGTCGATTGGTTTGGCAGAAAAGGAGGAGCAAATAGAGGGGTGTCGGAAAAAGGGGCCAAGCGGGCTTCTCGTGGAGGGTCGGTCTTAGGACCCAACGGGAAGCACGTAGGAATCTCTGGCTTCGGGGTGGAGGGGCGGGGCCGGCGGGCCGGCAGGCGGCCGCGGGGCGCATGCGCGCGCGTCTCCTCTCGCCGGGCCGCTGAGCTCCGCGGCGCGGAATAGAATGAACTGTAACAAAACAAGTCGAGCCTTTGTATCTGCTTAAAGGGGCCGCGGGCACTTCCCTCCGGTCCCCTCCACCCCCGCCCCGCAGCCGCGTCTCCAGGGCTCCCAGCAACTGGCTGGAAGGGCTTCCCTCGTCCTCTGGAACAGCCCGCCAGCGAGGAGTGGAGAGCCGGGCGGGAAGCAAAGAGGAGGCGCCGCATTTTCTAAAAAGGCAAGAAAGAAAGGAAGAGAGGAAAGAAAAAAAAAAAATCCTCGGAGAGGCGCAGAGTGGACTCTGGCCCGGGAGAGCGCGATCGGGCGCCGGAACGTGGACCGAGAGGCACCGGAATGCAAACAAAGCTCGCGGGCGCCTGTGCAGGGCTCGCGGAGGAGCCCAGAAAGTTTGTTTTATGATGATGGCTTGAGTGCGCGAGGGTGTGCAGGGGAGCGAGGCTGCCCAGGGGCTCTCCCGCGGCGTAATTTGGGGGAGAGATGTTTCTCCTATGAACCCGAGGAGACTTGGGGGCTTGTGCTGTGGGGGGCACCTGTCTCATTTTTACTCTTTTTTTTTTTTTTTGAGGAGGAGGGGTTCCACTCATCATGTCGAAAGTGATCCAGAAAAAGAACCACTGGACTAGCAGGGTTCACGAATGCACCGTGAAGCGGGGACCTCAGGGCGAGCTGGGGGTGACGGTGCTGGGGGGCGCGGAGAACGGGGAGTTTCCATATGTTGGAGCAGTGGCGGCCACCGAGGTGGCGGGGCTCCCCGGCGGTGGCGAGGGCCCGAAGCTGAGCGAAGGAGAGCTGCTTCTGGAGGTGCAGGGGATCCGGGTGTCCGGTCTGCCCCGCTATGACGTGCTGGGGGTCATCGACAGTTGCAAGGAGGCCGTCACCTTCAAAGCCGTCAGACCAGGTAAGACGGGGCGTGCCCTTGTGTGTGGGGGCGCACCCCAATAAGAGAGGCGGCTTGTGGGGTGCCCCCACCATCCCGATTTCCCGCTTTCCTTCTCGGAGCACAGCGGAGAGAAGTTGAGGCCGTGCGCCCCGGTGGTGGCGAAATACCTAAAGTTCTTGCCAGGTTGTGGGTCGTGTTTGCCCACCTGCGTTTGGGTAGGGGCTGCATTTGCGCAAGGGAGCGGGGAGATGTTTCCCGGGCCCGATTTGCCAACCTGTTATCTCAGCCAGCTTCGACTGAGCCTGAAGGGGACTTGGGGAACGGAGGCAGGGGCGGGGGACGCGTCCCCGGCTTCTTGGGGGGGAGTGATGCAGCGCGAGTAGCTTTTGGCCATTCTTGCTCCACTAATCAGTTTCTAGACCTGGTGATTGGGTGTCTGGAAGGAGAGGGGCTACGATTTCTTGGATCTCTTCAATCAGAAAACTAGCTTCATCCTGTATCCCCTCCAGGGGGGCTATTGTGACCTCCGGGAGATTCCTGATCCGCCGGTGCAGAGCCTGCATTCACCCCACAGCTGGATGACGCATGTGTCTCCGCCGCGGTGTGGGGGGAGGGGGAGGAGGGTTTCGCTCTGGGCGCGAATCTAGTCCAAGTTTACCGGCCACCGTCACCGTCCTCATGATTGATGATGATGATAACAGTTGTTCACTGACAGTTGACTAGTGCGAGACTCTCTGTAAAATGCTCGATTTGCACATCTCATTCTGATTCGCAGTTCTAAGATCCACTTTTTTTTTTTTAAATAAAACTCCTATTACCAATAAGGAAACCAGGACTGACATTAGTTAAGCGACTTGTCCAAGGTCACACAACCATCAGAAGCTGTTCCCTTGTTAACAGAGCTTTAAGCTCGGAGGAGGAGGGAGGGATTGGGGGACGGTACTTAGGGGCTGGGATGTGTGTGTGTATGCTGATTTTGAGGAGGTAAGGAAAGCAAATTCCTCTATCAGACGTCGGTACAGGAGGAAAGACCGCTTCAAAAGATGCATTTGCTGGTGGTGGTGGTGGTAGGTCCCTTACATCTCAGTGTGGTCTAGGCAAGGACTGTCCCTTGTACCCACGTGAGCCGGGTGCAGCCCAGCACTGTGACGCAGGTTCTCAATGAAAGCACCAAAGGAGGTGGTGGAGCTGAATGTGGTGAAAAGTTTCCATATGTTTCCATAGGAAGGCCAGCAGCTGCAGGAATGTGTCAAAAGAAAGGAGGGCTAGAAACAGGCCTCTTCCAGATGAGGAGGAGGAGGAGGAGGAGGAGGGGATGGGTGGGGGTGTGCCGGTAAGCCTGGCCTTTTGGTAGCTTTGAGGGCTGAATTTAATGGAAAAGTGTCATTTATGTCCACCTGGACACCTCCTCCAGGAAGTCCTCCACCATTCTGCAAAGATGAGCAGATATTTCCTCCTCCATGTTCCCTTACTCATTGGCACATCTCTCTTGTTGCATGAGGCCCCCTTGCCTTGCTCCATGATATATTCTTAGGTTCTTATCTGTAAACCAGCTTGTGGGTATGATTACATAAGCTAATGAGGGGAACATGCCCAGGACAGTGCTGGTAAATAGTAAGTGCTCAATTTAAAGATTAGCTATTACTTTCATGTTTGAGTTAATTTTGAGCATTTATTTATTTATTTATTTCTCTGGGAGCCTGGATTATGAATTTAATGCCAGTTAATGGATGAAGATGACCTGATGGAACTTTAGAGAAAATACTGTGTCAGGCGTTTTTATGGAAACAGCTGCAGATCTCAGTTCAGGGCCATTTTGGAGTAAGGGCAGGGGATGAATGGGCTGGGGTTCCTGCCCATCCATTGGGGTGCCTGGTGGTGTATAATAGATTCATTTGCAGTGTGCAAGATGCTTGTGGGTGAGCCACACCCTTCCACAAGTAATCAGAGGGATTGGAGACATGGGCCCAGGGCTGTCTCATTCATGGAATTTAGGAAAGTTGGGTGAGATTATTGAGAAGGTTTAGGATCAGACACCTCTGCAGTGTTTCCGAGTGTTAATGTCCTTCGCTCTAGACTATTCTTAGTGCACAGGGATGTGGACAGCAGGGGTAATTGTTTGCATGCCTTTGAACCTATTTTTTTTAGGGGGGTGGGTGGGTACCAGGGATTGAAATCAGGGGCACTCAACCACTGAGCCCCATCCCCAGCCCTGTTTTGTATTTTATTTAGAGACAGGGTCTCACTGAGTTGCTTAGGGCCTCGCTAAGTTGCTGAAGCTGGCTTTGAACTCACGATCCTCCTGCCTCAGCCTCCCCAGCCACTGGGATGACAGGGGCGAACCATTGTGCTTGGTTTTGAACCTATTTGTGTTGATAGAAAAAAGATGCTGAGGGGGAAACTTGAATAGCCTGGGTCCCACGACAGTGTGACAGCAACTTCTTGTAATAATCACCTGGCAGAGCCAGCTCATTGGAGGACTTCATCACAGTTAAAGGTGGCCCTGGAAACCATTCCACCCAGCCTCCATTCCCTCCTTCATGGTGAGAATGTGATTTTAATTACATGACAGAGTTCTGCCTCATTTATAGCATCTTTGTCGGAGGAGCGAGGCTCATTCTTGGTACACAGTAAAGCAAAATGTTACTTTTGTGTGAGTTAGCCTCTCCCAGGGACATGGGTCACTGTGGGCACTGTCAGTATGGAAATGTCATGGTTGTCTTGTGGGAGAAGATTCTATTTCATGGCAGTTCTCTGGAAAGATGCATGGACCAAAATAGTCCATAGCAAATGGTATTCTACCAAGCAGGACCGGGCTGTGGGGGAATCAAACTAAATGAACCTTCTGGGCTGGAGTTGTTCATCTTGTGTCAGTCCTTTGTCACAAAATACCTTTAAAAACATTTATATATATATATATATATATATATATATATATATATATATATATATATATATGTGTGTGTGTGTGTGTGTGTGTGTGTGTTTGTGTGTGTGTGTGTTTTATATATATACATGTTGTTTTAAATTTGCATTAAGGTATCATTTTACTATAGTAAGATGCACAACTTTTTTTTTTTTTTGTACCAGGGATTGAACCCAGAGGCACTCAACCACTGAGCCCCATCCCCAGCCCTTTATTCTATATTTTATTTACAGACAGGGTCTCGCTGAGTTGCTTAGGGCCTCCCTAAGTTGCTGAGGCTGGCTTTGAACTCGTTATCCTCCTGCCTCAGCCTCCCAAGCTGCTGGGATTTACAGGGGTGTGCCACTATACCTGGCTCCACAATTTTTAAAAAAATGGTCTTTAAAAATTTTTTGCATGTAGAGCATGCCTGGGCAGGAATCTAGCCACACCCTACTTCTGAACCATACCCCTAGCCCTTTGTGTTTTTTAAATTTTGAGACAGGGGTCTCCCCAAATTGCCCAGGATGGCCTCCAACTTCTGATCCTCCTGTTTCATCCTTTCAAGTAGGAGGCATGCACCACCACGGTACCAGTGTCTTTTTAAATAAAATTTTAATTAATACATAAAAAATTTTAACGGATACATCAAAAGATCAAAGTTGCATATATTCATGGTTACTGTAGGACATTTCATTACATGTGTATATTGTGTAATGTTTAAATCAAGTTTGCACAGATCTTATGTGTCTCATTTGATGAGTTTTGACAAATGTATATGTTCATGTTGTCACCGCTGCAATCAAGATAAAGAACATTTCCATTACCCAAGAAATTTCCCTCCTGTTTCTTTCCAGTTAATCCCTTCTACTAAAGACTCTTTGATTTCTTTTATCGTAGATTTCTCTGTTCTTCAGCTTTATAAAAAGAGAAGTCATGTAGTGTGCACTCTATTGTGTCTGGCTTTGTTTTGAGGAGAGGGGGGACTGGGAGTACCAGGGATTGAACTCAGGGGCCCTTCACTACCAAGCCACATCCCTAGCTCTTTTTTATATTTCATTTAGAGGAAGGGTCTCACTAAGTTGCTAAGGCTTAGGGTTGGCTTTGGAGTCTCTATCCTCCTTTCTCAGCCTCCTGAGCCTCTGGGATTGCAGGTGTGTGCCACAGTGTCTGGCTCTGTCTGGCTTTTTTTTTACCCAACAAAATATTTTGGAGATTTCACATTTTTGTGCATCATTCTTTATTTTTATTTTTGCAGTGCTGGGAATTGAACCCAGGGGTGCTTTACAACTGAGCTACATCTCCAGTCCTATTTAAATTTTTTAAAAAATTTTGAGACAAGGTCTTGCTAAGTTGCCCGGGGTTGGCTTCAAACTTGCAATCCTCCTGCCTCAGCCTCCAAAGTAACTGGGGTTACAAGTGTGTCCAATGGTGCCTGGCCTTTGATTCTTTTCATTGCTGAATAGTATTCCATTACACACATTGACTAGTTTGGGTTCCCCTTTTGCTTTCTGGTGTGCGTTTGTAATGTTGACGGTGTTCAACTGCTATGAACGAAGCTGTTGTTAATGTGCCATTAGTTCCAAGCATTTGCCAATCTTTGATCTTGTTTGTCTTTTGAATTTTGGCCTTTCTACTGTGGATAGGGGGGAACATGTAATTAGGAAAACTTTGGTATAGAATGTAGCTCACCTTTTTTAAGCTCTTACGTTAAAATACATCTGACCAAGGTGTGTTTGGCATGTGCAAAAGCCCTCTGAGGCCCTCCCATCACCAAATAAGAAAGAAAAAGAAAACAGAATATGTCAAGCCCTCTGCTAAGGTAGTGCTTTATGGTCATCCTCTCCTTTAATTCACTGAACTGGACTCAAACTTTGGAAACTTGAGTTTCAGAGTGTCTGGGTGAATTTTTCAAGGGAGCTACCACAAGTGGCAGAAAGAGCTGGAATTCATCTGAGTCTCATCCCAAACTCTTGCTCTTCATTCCTGGGACATTTGGTTCTGGTAGTGCAGTCCCCGGACCAAGTGGCTTTAGCTTTTACTTGGGGGAGATTTGCAAATCTCCTCCCCTCTCAGCAGCTGTGGCTGGTTTAGAAACACTAGGGGTGGAGCC